GCTTTGCTTTGCTTTGCTTTATCTTGCTTTACTTTGCTTTGCTTTGCTTTGCTTTAACTTGCTTTGCTTTACTTTGCTTTGCTTTGCTTTGCTTTGCTTTATTAAAAAAAGTTCGAGAAAATGATCTTGCTCAGTTCGCGAACGCTTCGTACTTAATCGACTTTTAAATATTTACAAAAAAAAAAGGCTTTTGAATTAAACAAAATCTATTAGCTTGCATTTAAATCAATAAAGACGATGAAGATAACAAGAAAATAAATACTTATCTTCGTTTTCTTTAATAAAAATAACATTTATTAAATAGAAAGAGCTTAAGAAAGAGCTTGAAGAAGATAAATAAAAAAAACAAAAAGATTCGCCGTCGATTCGATCTATAGCATCTTTTAACTCAATTTAAAAGACACGCGGTGAAATAAAATTTTCGTAGCTTAATTGAGAATGAATAAAATTATCAAAAATATATATATATATATTATTGCAATGTTGTGAGCAATGTTATAAGCAATATAAGTGTCTACGTTCCTCGCGGTTTTTGGCGTTGAAGCGGGACATAATTTTTTCGCGAGACATAAATTTTTCGCCCACTTTAGGGAAGGGCCCCAAAAGTTGCGACGTCAAGGCCCACTATTATGTGGTAGAGTGAAATGGCGGGGTACGGGGGTACCAGCGGACCCACCAAATTTTTTTTTTTAAAAAATCCCAAAAATCAAGGCAGCATCCGTAGATTTCAACTTCTAGCGATACTCTATTGATGACCAGCCGAACAGCATCAGATAGATAGATTGATAGATATATTCTCCGCTGCGAAAAAAGTCACTGGTCTCCTTGTATTTGCTCGTGTTTATCCTGGCTTGCTTGCTTGCTTGCTTGCTTTCCCTCTTCTCTCCTGCTTCCCCCTCTGAATTTTATTTTGCACTTTTTTTTTCATTTTAAAATCCTTTGCAAATATTTCCGAGAATTCTTTTCCGAAAGGAAATTTCCCCTCCTATTTTCTGTTTATCAACTCTCCACTTTTTGAAGGGGAAGGAAAAGGAGGAGGAGCAGGAGGACTGCGTAAGGGAGGGAAAGAAAAAGGAGAGAGACAGACAGACAGACAGACAGAAAGAGAGAGTGTGTGAGAACAATGCCCGCGCAAGGCGCAATCGAGAAGCTTCCCAAGGAGGGCGGAAACGAGCGTGATGGTGCGCGAGGACCTGACGAGGAGGGAAGGGGAGGAGACTCTGATCGGGAGGGTGTTTTCGAAGCGCTCAAGACGACGCTCGAGACGAGGGGGAAGGGGAGGGAGAGTAGTGTGCGGGTATTTGTTACGGCTGTCGAGGCTAGGATGGCGAGTGCGGCTTTGAGGTCAGTAGAGAGGGTTTTTTTTTTTTTTTTTCCCCGCGGGGGAGAGGCCGGGAGAGGCTTTCTTTTTCTTTGATTGGATGATGGTGGGTTTTCTTGGTGTCGCTTTTTTGGAACTTTTGATTCTGGGGATATGGGGGATTTTGGGGAGGGGATGTGTTCTCTGATTTCTGAATTGTCAAATTCGGAGGGATTATTTTTTTTTTCTTTTTGGGGGGGGGGTGTGTTTTGGTTCTTGCTATTGTTGGGCTGGGCATAGTGTCTTTGAGTTGGAGTGCAGCGTATGTGGGTAGATAGAGAGAGAGAGAGAGAGAGGTATTTCCTATTGCTGGAAAGCTTCCTGTCTCTGCGATTATTACGGGAGCAGAAAATCCCTCTGAAAAATTGCACGGTTTGGTGGTTTACGCTGTCTGATGGCAATATCTGCTGCCTGTTTACAGTGGTGGTCGAAGCTTATTTCCTTGTCTTTCTGTCTATCATTGCTCTGCGTGCTGCATATCTCCTTGCATCTTCTATTATTCATCATGTATAGTCAGCTTTTGCTATACTTGCGACTGCTTCTCGTCAAAGCTCCAATGTCCAAAGGAAATCCAGCTAACTCTCTCCTCCATAGCCTCGTGCGGAAACTTGTCCCCGACGATGGAGGCCTCGACCTTCAGCACCTCCGTCGTGTTGCAAAACTTGCCGACTTGCCATCTCAAGTCCAAGTCCGGCTCACTGCTCCCTCCGATATGCCAGCAGAAGAGAGGGCTAAACGCACACTCTTTCTAATTTGCGGTCCCACGACCGCAATCTCCTTCCCAGACCTCCTGATCCCACTGAGGGACATACTGGGAGAAGCCGAGTTGTTCGAAGTCGACGTCCCGCTCCTGGCGCCTACGAGCCAGGAACAGGCTGAGGGCTGGACTCGGAGCTTTTGGCCGACGGTGTACAAGAAGAGTAACCCGTTCGGACCGCATGTTAGCATTCTTGCCCGTGCCGAGGAGGAAATGAAGGAGGAGGTGGGACGGTATTTTGATCTTGCGGAGAAAGTGGCTGGAGATTGTCGCGATCGGGGATTGGGTGAGAGAGTGGGTGTTTGTGTGGTCGAGAGGAAAGGGGGAAAGGGGAGGGTGGTTGCTGTCGCTGGGGATGTGAGGTGGATGGGCTGGGAAAAGAGAGTGGGCTGTGGAAACGTGTGCGCACATGCGGTGATGAGGGCAATTGGCATGGTTGCTGAAGGGGTGAAGGGGAGAGGAGATGCTGAGGATGGTAGACACGATGTTGAGATTGAGGGAGATGGGGTGGCAGCTGCGGTGTTGGAAAAAGACCTTGGAACCTCCGCTATATCGACAGCAGCGGCGTCAGTTGACAAAATTGAAGGAGCAAAAGGCGGTACGATCAGTGCTCCATCGACAGTAGAAGGTGTTCATCGACTAGATCCGACAATCGCAGCAACAGAGGCGGGCCATCCTGAGATCTCTGGATCAGCCGACACACAAGCTGGAGATATTTCTTTCACCTTTTCCTCCAACCATACTGATAGAGATCAACAGCAAAAACAGACGCGAGCTCCAGATCATTCACTCGACGAGCTCTTCCAAGACACGCCCCTCCTGCCCCTCGAAAAACAGCACTACGACCCATCCGGCAACCAGAACGGCTACCTGTGTCACGACCTCGAGATATACTGCACCCACGAGCCATGTGTGATGTGCTCCATGGCCATCGTGCATTCTCGTTTCGGGCGAGTTGTTTTCCGGAGGCGCATGGGGGAGACAGGTGGGCTGTGTGCTGATGGTGAGCTGGGCCACGGTCTGTTTTGGCGGAAGGAGTTGAATTGGACGCTGCTTGCCTGGCAGTGGAAGCGTGGCGAGGAGGAGGATGGTGCCGGTGATGTAGAGCCACATTTGCACGCCTGATCTTCTGGACACCCACTCTAGGACTTCCAGCTACCAGCGATAGCAGATTTCCCATCGAAACAGGAAACCAACCAAAGAGAGCCAGAATGTTAATGTTTAAATATGCCCGACCTTCACTGTGTTCCGGAATAAGCGCGTAAGTTGACCGGCGAGTGGTGGGAGACTTCTCAATATCAGCCCTCGCCTTCCAATTGCTTTTTTTTTCGGCAAACATCTGTGTCACCTTGTTTGACTATTCAACCTCTTATAGCCATTCAATCAACAACGTGTCTCCCGCGAGGTCTACAATCGTCGTGGTGGTGCAGGTTGAGCTGGGGGTGGGGGTTAAATCGGTTGAATTGCTAGCTAGCTGGCTGTTTTCTTGATATTGAATGGCGAGTCGAGGTCTGACCGAGAGAGATTTGTGAACTAACTAATCTTTCGTAATTACTAGTCAGCCCCCACCATTTATATATTTGTGCTGCGGACCCTGTAGCCGCAAAATCACATCACATCAGGCTGCTTACTATCGGATCATCTGTAGCTGGAACCCAGCGGGGGGCACTCAATGGGCAATGAATGTGCTCGCGCTTCATATTACAAAACAGGCATGTATGTATTCATTCATGTCAGGGTTGCATTGCATGGGTCGGTAAATATAAATTCGACAATGATAATGATAACGATAACATTGGGATGGATGACGATGAGGATAATGAAGACGGCGAGTACATGTTACAAGATGATGATGACGATAGCCACGACGCATGATTCCGTGACAACGAAGTCCGCATGTCTCACTGGGGATGGGACTGTAGATATTCCATATGTCAGGCAGTCACGGGCACAATCGTTCATAAGCACATTGAGACATCGACTGGTGCTTTCATTGCTTAGCCTGGTATCTCTCCAACAAACCAACGTCCCAGTCCTTGAACTTCCTAGCACTCGGAGGCAGAACGAACGCACTCTCTCGCAGAACCCCTTCAATCTCGCGTATCCCTTCTGTCGGCGTTTGGACATCCTCCACGTTACTGCTATCCAGTAGTTCGACAGCATCCTGTGAGGTTACCAGCTTCCAGAACACCTTCATGGCGAGCTTAGGCTGGGCAGAAGACGAGCCAGAAGTTGACTTGTAAGAGCTTGTAGAGCAGAACGGAAGCGCAGAGCACATGACCCACACCAGCAACGACACAGTTGAAATAGGCAAAGGCTTGGAGCTGGGCGGCGTGTCGGAAATCGGGGCGAGGATTGTTGATGAATCGTCGGTACATGAGATACAAGTTTCGTTCGTATTGCACGTAGCAGTAGAGAACGATAATGCGCAGAGCTTCGGATCGAACGGAGTAAAGATCATTCGGGCAATACATTGTGACAAGATAACCTGGCAACATTGCGAGGCGACGAAGTAGGAGAGGCTGGGATTACAATCTGGCAGCAAGGTGAGGCGCCACTTGTAAATTCGGATTCCACCGGCTTGACTGTCCACTAGTCCCAGAAGACCCTGGCAATTCTCGCAAGTTATTTTTTCGGATGTTGTATTGGCTTCGAATGACTGTGAAGTCTAGATCGGGTCAGTACATAATTTCAATCGTCCGGTCTAGAATAGGACACTGCGACTGCAATTTTCCCAAGGAACAGATACAGCAGGCCCCATTTTGTCCCTCCGTTGTGTCCCATCGCCTTCCAAGCCTCGAGGAAGATATGGAGTGCAAGGCAGAGGATGATCCTCCAGTCAACAAGCAACCCGTAGTCCGTAGAAGAGGGTAGGCATGTATGACCGCTGCGCAAGCGCATGAGGGAGACAAGGTGTTGATCTTGGGGATTTGTATCGGCCACCAGACCACTGAGTCGCAGAGCGAAGCATGGCAACCTTCTTGATACCCATGGCAAGCCTTGAACAAGAGATAGGGAGAAAGAAACACGCAGAGAGAGTCACGGGCTGACCTTGAGATTCTTGCAATCAACGGAAGCAAGTAGGAACGTGGTGATGTTGATGAGTCCAATTCCTGATCTGGCGAGGAACCTGGTGTTGGCACCATAGCCTTTGCTTGCGGCTACGCCCGAAAAATCACGTGACTCCTGGCCACTTGAGCCATTCGCCTCGCTCAATGCAACAGGAGCATCAGGCTTGTGGCAATGCCAGTAATCCATCATCTCAGCCCAGTTTTCGCTGGGGAGGTCCTTCCATACTCTGACGGTTCCTTTCTCCAGGATGACCGCCTTGCATTCACGGCATGCAAACTCTGCATCTTCTGAAATGTCTTTTGCGGACCAAGGAGCCTCATTGCTCTGCGCATCCTCAATGCTAGCTCTGGAGGCCTGACCTGCAAGAGGTAGCCGCCAGGAAAGCTCTTTGTTGCCAAGGATGGGCTTTTGAAGCTGGAAATTGGCGACGGCCTGTCCTGGGAGGCCTAAGACGGTTTTCTGTCCTTCATGGTAGAAGATAAATTGCCATCCATCAGCTGATAGCTCTGCCTTGGTGGCAGATTCGCAAACCCCTTCGAGCGCGACGATGACAGAAATCTGGCGGATGTTGGACAGCAGCTCTGCATATATCAAGGGCTTGCTTGAAGACATTGCGCCGATGCTGTGTGTCGTGAATGCAAGCTTGGTTTTGATCGAGTCATCTTTGAGTGATGGAAGTTGGGGTTTTCGATGGGGAAAAGATATCGTTGAGAGGTGCGAAGACAGGTCTTAGGCTAGATCACTTCGGAGGCATAGTTGATCCGAGAGCTACTCCACAGTCCGAAGTCATCCCGATTCGCTTGGTGTGACTTCACCCATGCCACAGCGTTATACCCCACAGTCGGGCATCCCAACAGCTTCACAAGGCATCAGGTTACTTAAAATCATTCACAATGTCGTCTCCTATGATAGCTTGGGTGCCAATCGTCAACCGCTTTACAAAATACTTCACCACCAGCAATTACGCAGCACAATTTATTGATCTTCCATCCGTCGAGATCCACGATGTCGAGCCAGCCGCAGAGAAGCGCCCCAGGACTCTGAAGCACCTTCTACGAGCAAACCATGTCAACTATTCAATTCTCTACCACAATTTACAGTACCACAATCATATTCCGCATCTGCTGGGCTCTGCATATCTTCTAGGAGCAGACGCAGACCAATTGAACAACATCTACGATGGGGAGTCAGAGAGGCTGGAAGAATGGAAGAACTCTCCTGCAGAAGTTACAGAAAAAGACTGGAGAGAGTTTCTGGGGGACAAGAGATATCAGAGGGCCTATGTGGATTTCTACGAGGACGAGATGGCGTTGAAGTTCGATTATGATTGGAAGGGTGTAGCAAGAGAGTATCTTTTCAGTGGAAATGAGCCTTTGATCAATGGAATTATTGGAGGACGTAAGTCAAACTCAATGAATTTTTTTCACCCTGCCTTTCACAGTAATTCTCAACAAATGACATTGTCGTTCACTAACAGCAATCCAGTCGGCCACCCCTTGATCCATCTCGCCTACGCCTACGAACTCTCCAGCAAAGAAGTCGGCATAGAAGCGCTAGCTATGTCCTCCTGCTGCTACAACTACCTGCACAAATACCTTGACCACCCCTCGTACACTATTGCCTCTACGTACAGCACCACCTCACCCCTTGAAATCCTCCATAAAATACACACTGACACCCGGTTCGACGGGCTCTTTGAAGACCGCGGCGCCTCCAATATCGAAATAATCTTTTCCCAGCACGAGTCTCTGGTCCTGGAGCACTGGAACGCATGGACCATCATAGACCCCAACAAGCAATTCCGGGAATCGCAGGAAGCAGCTCTTGCGTTACTCGTGAGGACGGTAGAGCCGGGAACGCATGCATATGACTTTTTCATGGTGCATTTGTTGACCACGTCGCACGCCGTGAGGGTGTTACTGCCGCTAATACCGAAGAAGTTCCATATCGGGCTCGTGAGGCAGTGGTGGTTACTAGCGATTGCGGTTTACATTGCGCAGTTGCGACCGAAGATCAGTGAGGATATCGAAGGGAAGCCAGAGGCTGGCAAGGGGTGGAAGTATGTAGAAGAGATGGCGGTGACGGGGCCGTGGCGTTCGGATCCCCATTATGTTAAGGGTGAGAACCTGCCTCTTTCCCTAGCGTGTTGCGATCGGGAGCTAATGATACGTAGCATTGAGAGCCATGAAAGAGGCGGCGTTTACGTGGGGGGATGTACACGAGCGTTACTTGTCAACCGCCGTACATTTCGCAGACGACTTCAAGGGCTGGACGGGCTTTGGATCAACGGAATAGAACTATAAGTAATGGCTGTCATTGATACAGACTTGTATTTTGTGTGAATGGTGGACATGGATATTGCATTGATTGCATTATATACCAGCTGGCGTTCCGGGGGAGCAATCACGATGCAACGACAGCGCAGTAAAATACAAACTCATCTAATTTCAAGCCTATTCCTTTCCACAGGGCAATTCATTCGATGCGCAACAAGCCTTGACGGTTGACATACTTGGTCCAACCCTTGGGTTACCTTGCAATGGCCGACACCTAGATTTATACATAGTTGTCGGTTTCGCCTCCCCCTATATAATTAGGGTGTGTACGGCTCGCAGTTGCACGTTCCAAGGCTTGTATGGCTTGCAACTAGCAAATTAAACAGCAATTTGCTAATTAGTACAGTGTTTTTACGAAGTTGTTTTTGTAGTATTGAATAGCGGCGCATGCTCCTATCGCAGCGATAACAATACTTGTATTGCGATTGCGCGGATTACGCTTTTTAAAAATATCTTTCGAAAAAGCTATTGCAAAAAGGTGGCGTTGTAAAGGGATGAAGAGGTGATCAAAATAAGCGGAAAGGAAAGGGGAAGGAGGAGGGGTGAATAGCTTGCAACTTGAGCTTGCAACTTGGGCGTTGGAGCTTTTTGCTGCAACTTCGATTCGTATGGTGCACCTGCAAGTGGCAAGGTCAGATGCACACTCTACAAGACTTATTTTATTACGTGCACGAGCCATACAGATTGGAGCCTCGATTCTTGCATCTTGACGTGCAACTTGGAGATGCAAGAATACTTTGGTGGTGTGCAACTTGGCTTGCATCTGCGAGCCATGCAGGCTCTTAAATTATTAGTAAGCCTCACACCACCAACAGCCCCCGATTGTGGTAGTCGGGTCGTTTGCTTATTACTCTCTCAGTCTCAGGTTCCCACAGTCACTAATCGTCGGCTCGCTTAGGTGGGCCTCCTTTCATCCTTTCAGTCTTAGTCGGCATAAGCGATTGCGGATCGGAAGCGAATGCGGATTTTTTCGAATATGTTAGAAATTCTCTAATACTATAGCATTTACTATTACAACAAAGAAATATTTACATGAATAATTAATCGTCTGTTATACCGTCTTCCGAAACATTTAAAATCGTATCATCCGATGAGATATCTGACCATCGATCATTATTTTCATTAGAATTTGATTCGTCTCCTACCTTTCGCAACGAATCGTTTGAATCTCTACTACTATCAGAATTGAAGCCATCGCTATCGATATTAATACTAAGAAAAGGAATAATATCTTGCTTTAAAGAAAGGTCTCCGGTAGTATCGGTTATAATCATTAGATTATCATTACCGAGAAAAGGTTCAGGTTGAGAAAGAGTTGGTCGAGGAATACCTTTTTTACGAGGCCGCAGAATTTGACGTTCAAGAGGTTGTTGCATCCACCAAATCTCTTCCGAATCGAGAATTGGAATGAGTATTAAATCGTCGTCTTTAATAATTAAGCTTGCAGCAAGGCGTTCTCGTATAGTCCTTTTGCGCTCGCGTTCAGCTTTGCGTGATTCGACTCCTTTACGATACTCAGCATCTCTTTCTTCTCTCTAAAGCTTGTCGACGATTCGTTGTTGTTTTGCAGCAGATTCAAGATTTGCTTTAGCTTCTTGCTCAGCAGCAAGCTTATTACCAACTTGAGATGTTAAGCCTTCGGTGTGATGAAACCATTTGCGACTTTTTGTTTTGCTTTTTAGTTGGTCTTTTCGTTGTTGAGCGAGAATAGCTAATTCTTGTTCTTGTAAAGTAGCTTTTACTGCAACTTCTCGAGTACCTTTCATGTAGGATTCGAATTCTTGTCGAAAAGGACTACTCAATAACTCGTTGCATTTATTTTGCTACTTCTACGAGCTGATTTCGACATGCGCTGGTTTCCGAGGAGTACGAGGAAGCTCTGGCTCGTCTTTGTTTACGTATTCGGGAGGCGTAAAGGTCTTGAGATTTTTTAAACATTGCGTTGCGTTCGGTGGGTACATTCTAAACTTCTTCTAAGCTTTTTTGATATTGTATCGACTGAGTGTTTGATTGCGAATATGGTCGAGATCGTTTAGGAAAGAATTGATTGTATACTCGACGTCGAGCTGTGCAAGCGCAGCTTTAATCGCTAAGTCGTGGTAATGCTTATAAGGTTGGAAAATCCTTACATCAAGAGGTTGCATGCAATGAGTGAGGTGAGGAATCAACGGGTACGGTAGAATGTGATTTTTGTTAGCTAAATTGATGAATTCCGGAGTCCGGTAGCTAGCGTGATTATCCATCAACATAAGCTTCTAAGGTTTATTCGGTCCACAATCTGCGTTTTTGATATAATGCTCGAGGTATAGCAATGCGATTTTATTGTCCGTGAATCCATTATCAGCTTCCTTAATGAGTGTGCTTGTAGGAAGGTTCGAAACGAACCATTGCTGCATGAGTCGTTTGCTTTGAATAAGAATCATCGGAGGAACAGGTTTTTGGCTAGTCGCATTGATCATCTCGATTATTGTTACGGATCTTCGATTCTCAGGGCTAACACTGTAGAACTATATATAAAAATTAATATATAATATTAAATAAGTTATATAATACGATATAGCACGACATACCTCTTGAATAGATCCAAGAACTAATACTTCCGTTCCTCGCGGACAGCCAATACGGAACCCAGTCTCGTCGAAATTGATGATATCTTTAGGTCGAATATTCATCTTCTTCAAGGTGCGTCGATAGCTTTTGAACCACTTGTGTACCGCGTTCGTGTCTTGCGCTGATATTCGGATTCGAGCGAGAGGTTTGGTCTTGATTTTGTGGAGGCCACTCGTTTTCCACCACCTTGTAAACCAGCTCCAGCTCTACGGCTTCGCGTATTCATCGTATGTTTTGCGTAAGGCGAATATAACGTTATAGATCAATTGCGGTGTAAGAGTAAGCCAATTAGCAAGGAGCTGAACGATGAATTGGCGTAACGCGTTGATATGCCAGCTTTGCAAGATCTTATTTTGACCGCCGCGCTTGCGATTTTTCGGTCGCTTGAGGTGACTGTTCAATGTGCGCTTACTGAGGTCGTATATACGCGCAGCAGTTTTTTGAGTCTCTTGAGGGTATTCGGACAAGAAGGTTGTAGCGCGTTGGAGACGCGTCGCAAGATCTTCAATTGCATTAGGACTACTTGGTTGAGCGTGGCTTTTGTATTGAAAAATCCTTGAAGGCTTCTTCGAGCGAGTGCGTTTTCGGCCCATAATTGATTGTAGAATGCGATTGAATTGTGCGGTGGTGGATCAAAGAATGATGTTGTAAATTGTATTTTGTATACAAAAACTGGTAGCAAAATAAAAAAATCCGCATTCGCTTCCGATCCGCAATCGCTTATGCCGACTAAGACTGAAAGGATGAAAGGAGGCCCACTTAAGCGAGCCGACGATTAACGACTTTCAAGTGAACTGATTTCCCATCAAAAACTTCCATTCCCCCCCCAAAAAAAAGGTTCCAAATTTCCGAGCCCGATCATGATCGGATACTTATCTGCAACTCGACCTCACGACGTTTTAGAAGTCAACAACATCCACACTTGTTATCATTACAAACGTGCAAATACCTTGTATCGTCATGAGACCTTCGTAATCATCAGGAAAAATTTCGGTTGTAAGGGAGTATTATTAATTTTAAGAATAATTATTAGATATTGTTATGCCGATTTGCAAGTCCGTTTGAGAGCCGGTCGGTGTTTGAAAGTCGGTGTAGCGCACCTGAGACTGAGAGTACGGTAGCCGACAGCTTCTTGCCTCATCGGCGCGCGCGGCTAGCTCTTCGGTGCTGGTGCTGCCACAGGGACTCGAACGCCACCAACTCTATGCAAGTTGCCAATAATCCCATAAGCGCCGATACCAGCTCGTCGTCACCTTTTCTTCAGCTTCAGAGACACGGCTCGTTTCAGGATCCACTGTGTCGGGATTCACTGTGTCGGGATCCACTGTGTCGGGATCCACTGTGTCGGGATTCATTGTATCAAGATCCATTATGTCAGGTTCCAGGGCATAAAGATCTACCGGTATCGTGTCAGGATTTCCAGCAATTTTCCAACTCTTCCAATCCACGGTCTTGCTCGAATATTGAGATAGCTCCCCCTCTGTCTTCCAGCACTGAGCGGTTATATCTAACTCGTTGTTGTTTATGGTATCAGTTGGAATGACCATTTGCAGCTTCTGAGGGGCCACTTTGATATATGAAAAGCGTAACGCTTTCCTCGGGTTCGGCACGCCTATCGACCTGATATATTCCAGAATGGTCTTTTCGTTCCGCTTCCAGAGGGACCACAATTTCGTATTCTTGTAATATTGAGGGATCCATACTTTTTTCACCTCTTTAATCTTTCTACTATCCGCTTCGAGCACACAGTACCATGATTCTACACTACCTTGCCAGCCAGCAGGTTCGTTTACTATCGAAACTATTTAGCTCCGCGTGATAAGTCAACAATGATTGATGGATATAGGTCGACTTACCCGTGTAAAAGCCTTGTCCTAATTGATTGTATTCTTCGATTCTTACATCGAAGGCTTTATCTTTGAAAGGCCTTTTGTATATCCTTATATATCTGGCTTCATCCTACAGTTCGCGTAATTAATATTAGCTCATATTATATTGATCTAGTGAAACTTACTTGGGAAACAGTTCGATAACCGATAACTTCTCTGCTTCCGTAGGCTGTATTGGCGAGAAAGCTCACGGCTAGCAAGATCGGGCAGACAAATTGCGGCAATAGCATTATAGGATAGGTGATGGTACGGAAAGCGACGGTAAGGGAGGTGATGGGTTCAATCTGAAGCAGGTGCAACAAAAGGGATCTATATCTTCTTTCTTCTCATATTCATCTTACTAATATTAGAAGATGTAATTTAAACGCCGAATCGTCGCTTACCTTAAACTTGATTCGAAAAGAGTTACCGACTTGCTGTGCACACGTAGCAAGTCGGCCCCACCGACCGGGGGTACCCAACGACCCGGGACACCTCGGTACTTTTTCCCTTTCTAAAATCGATGGAAAATCAACCACTGATCATATCGTAAAGATCTTAAGTGAAGAGATGCACTATCAATCAATCAATACAATCCTACTCATATGTAGTTGTTCTATTCTTGTGCTGTGGTAAAGTACGTAGAAATTGGTGTAGAATGAGTCCTTGGCAAGCCGTGCAGCGTCAAGACGGAACTGGGTCAGCTTCTGCGTCAATAACAAATTTCTCTCCTCCGCCTACTCCGTACTCAGCTTGCGTACCACCAGCTATTTTGCTTCCATGGCAAAAGCAACTCTGGATCGATAGGTAGAAAGAAGCAGGGTACCATAATCCGGTTGAGTATACTTCAGAACGGGATCCATTCGCAAAAGCTCCAATGAAGCGCGCTCACGATCAAATTGTCATATCGTAGCTTTACTTCTAGGAAACGCGACTAAACCAGTGCTAACACGATAGCTGAATTGCCTTAAATGCCTTAGGCCATTGGACCCTTCAAAAACCGGATGCTTTTTTTTTAAAAAAAAAAAAAANAAAAAAAACAAGGTCCCCACGGGGGTGGCGGGGTGGGGGGATAAGGGGAAGGGCGGCCCAGGCGATTAGTACCGGTAGTAGTAGTATTGATCTGCGTCTAGCGGGTGAACAGCGGAGCAAGCGCTTCTCGCCCTGGGAACTGCAAAACGAAGGGTTTGTTTTATAAACAGTCTATCCATCACACTGATCCTCTTCCAAGCGCCAAACCTCGATAATCTTTTCCTTCTCTTGGACCGACCGACTTCCGCAGTAAAATCATCATCCTCCAATACCCCAACGAGTGCAGTTCGAAAAAGAAGTCGTCATAAAAAAAGAAGTCGTCATCGAAAAAGAGCGTTTCTCGATGACGTTTGGTTATCTTACTCTCTCCCCCTTGGTACGGATAGGATAGATAGTACGAAAAGAAGACTATGCCTAGCCTAGTCAAAGCCCAAACCTCTCGTTATTCCTATATCGACGACTCCAGGAAGAAGCGCGTCGCTCGGCAAAAAGAATACACACAATCGGGGATTGAGCCCGACCCGAGACTCGAACTCGGAGCCTTGAGGTTTGTCTTTTTGCTAAGATTTTTTTCTTGGTAAAAGCCACACGCTCTAACCATTGAGCTAGCCGGGCTGCTCAGTTCGCTTTGTTGCTTTGCGCGGCTCTCGTTACAATACGCAACAAGTATAGTAAGAGACAAAAGCACAGTCCTCGGGAGTAATATTCAGTGGGATATTTAAAGGAAAGGAGAAAGGGCCGAACGCGACGAAGAACGGTCTAGAACATGGTGTACGACGTGCAACAAAACAAGACGAAAATTTTAATCCCGCCGAGCTCCCTGGCCAGTCCGCAAGCATTCTGCACAGAATTGTCTACCTACTCTGTAGAAGCGAGGTTTGGGTGCGAGTCCGACTCGAGGAAGCTAATAAAATAAAAGGGTCGAACAGGTCCAGACCCGATCGTTGTGTAGCTCCGAGAGCCCGCAGGTAAGCAGCAGGCAGCGCATTGACTATTGTTTCGATATGCACACCGGTGGATGTGCAACAATGACCAAAAAAAAAAAAAAAAAAATTATTTCCCCAAGTACCTGTTTTGGCCCTAGGCCAATAGGCTACCAAGGGGCACAGACGACCAGTCAGTGGAGGAGGATACTGCTAACCTCACGTTGCACATACCGGTAGCTCTCTAGAAGAACAATCCACCCATCTTGCAAACTACTACGTCCCAGGCGTAAGTATTACCCCTTGAGGGTAGGGTAACCAGGGGATTTATAGTGGGAACTAAACTTTCGAGGCACCCTCGAGGGGTAATACTTATTACGCCTGTACCGCGGTATCTTTTCCCCCAAATCTGGTGACACACGCAGGGGGCTCGACTGCAGAAAACCTTCTCTCTCTCTCGATTCGCAGTCAAGGCAATGAAACATTGATCGAATCCAGGCCCAGCTCGTGCGCAGCTTGCTCGGGACCACGGAATCGACTGCTCCATTACCCTTCCCCCTCACCTTTTCATCGGCATCTCCTCACTTTTCATCAGTCGACCTTCACCACGACCTCGCATGGTACCAATTTCAGACTCTGCAGACGATTCGACGTGATCGGTTCGACCAAAGTCGATCGTTTTCACGGTCTGTTCCATGGCTTCTCAATGTTTACGATACGATAAAGCACATACAATCTCGACGGAGGATACGAGTGATCGGGTCTTCTTCAGGATTACGGATAGCTGACTGGAGGCTCCACATGCGTTCGTTGCATACGCTCACGGTTTGCCTTGCTGGTTTTATAGCCTGAACGGGGTTGGAGGTGGTTGATGGAGGTACTGCCGAGTTTGTCCAGGAAGTTCAGTTGCGAGGTATGCGGAGACGAAAGGAAATGATGGAAGAAGTTACGACAGCTAAAGGAGATACCGGTACCAGGCCACTAAGGTGCACAGACCACTAGAGGAGGAGGATATAACCTCACGTTGCACTGAGCTTCCTAGTACGGTAATGGATCAATCCACCTTGGGTACCGGTACCTGCACATCTCCCACATGTCCCTTCAAAACCTTAAATTACTTTACAGTATACAGCTACAGAAACCGATCAAAGCGGACTGGATGGAGGAAATGCTGGCCCTAATGAAATAGTCTATAGTCTAAGTCTCTAGTCTCTAGTCTCTAGTCTCTAGTCTCTAGTCTCTAGTCTCTAGTCTCTAGTCTCTAGTCTCTAGTCTCTAGTCTCTAGTCTCTAGTCTCTAGTCTCTAGTCTCCAGTCTCTAGTCTCTAGTCTCTAGTCCACGCTTAACTTACAGAAAGTTGAGAGCGAGCGAGCGATAATCGCCTGAGCCGCCATTCCCCACTCCTAATCTTTCAAAGCGTCGAATAGCCCGAAGCACTTGAGGCACATAAAATCGAGGCCTCAGCTATCAAGATGGGCGCGAAAACACAGCGCTATTTCTGATAACCGAGGACTCCCGCACTACGTACGGAGCAGGTCAATACATCCAGGTGTGGACAGTCTATATTCTATGGAGTGAAATCCCGGTAGGTAAGGAGCATGGCTGATACCATAAGTACCTAGGTAGACTGTTCAAAAATGCGATCGATCAACCTGACCTACGCCCGCCTACGCTAATGGGGTGTGTGCATCCGTTTGAGCTTGAGCTCGTCGAGGAACGTTTACAGTAAAAACTTGGTTGGGCGCGGACTACGTACAACCATATAAAGAGGAGAGAGGAACGGTTTTTTTTTTCTTTTTTTTTTGGCGTTCTACGTGTGCTTTACCGGCCCGAGGTATTTATATGTAGGGATAGCGAGCTGCATCGCCCACTTGTTGGATCGCCGGTCGCGAAACGTTTCATTCCTCGCGTGCAGCGCAGGTCGCTTCTTGCAGTTGCAAAAAATGCCGGCAAGACAATGGGTGATCTGCTTTCTGTCTGCTCCCCACGGTTTGGGGGAGAGGGGACTCCTGCTGTACGATTAGAAGGAGTCACGCGGATGAACGACTACGTACTACGATGTATATAATAGTATTTACATACAAGAAGTTGGGGGGGGCCCCTTGAGGGTATGCCACGCTAAGCGAGGCATGCCCGTGTTAGCGAGGCAGGCGCATCCGTAACCGAGCTGGGCCCGACCAAGCTGGGTCGGTATGGATGTACCTACCGACAGCGCTGAGAGAGGCTATTGCTATGGACTGGATGCTCGAGAAAGAGCTGGTTGCATCGCGCTGAAGGAAGCTATTGCTATGGACTGGATGCTCGAAAGACAGCTAGCTGGCTGCATCGCGCTCAAAGAAGCTATTATTATAGATTACATACAAGTAGTTACTAACATTACATCGCAAAGTCCGGAAACCTCACCTCAGAGCGTGCGGAGAGCCATAAGTCTTAGCTTGCGGCCAGGCTAAAGCGTTACATTTTCTTTGTACTCTCTTTACGCGTATTGCTTGCTTACATGAAAATGATATAGCGGCAATGTCCAGGGCCTCGGAAGGCAGCTTTACATTACGACCGTGAGGAAGCGAGGTTCTTTAGCCCCGAGGCTTGCGGAGGGCCGCCAGGGAAGAAAAAGACCTCGTATATTTATACTGTGGTGGTGAAAATCGTGGTGTTGTCGACTCCTGCAGTCGGTGTAAAATCAGCGTTAAGGTAAGGCTAAATTAGCATTGAACTAGGCTCTTTCCTTGATAACAAAATTCTTTCTCTCTCTCTCTCTTTCTCTCTTCCTCCCCCCAATTTTCCCTGAATACCTACCCATCCCCAAAAAAAAAGAAAAAAAAAGGGGGATGGCTCACCCACCTCACCCACCTACCTAACCTACCATAGACCCTCCCCAAAACAATCTAGAACGTCAACTCCGCGATCTGCAAACAAGAAAAGTCCAGCCCATCCCAGCCCATCCCAGCCCAGTCCAGCCGAGTACCTACTGTAGCACCTACTCCAGTCCCCAGAACATCTTCAAGGAAAAGCCA